AGCAGTCCAATCTCACCCGCAACTATGTTTGCCGGGACGCATATTTGATTCATTCTTAATCACAACTGTCTTCAGTATTTTAAAATAGACATGGCCACTTCCTGCATATTTTTTGCAACACAATAAACACAATATAATTTCTAATCTGTTTGTATGTACCTTCACACACTCGTGACTTCTAACAGCCGATGATATCATGAGATGGCACTGTTATTGCCACAAACTAAATGTATTCAGGAAGACACAGCTTGATTGTTTGTATATGATTTTATATGGAGTGGAGTGTGTGATTAAGCAATTAATTTCGAAAAATCTTTATGTGCTACATTTTACATACGAAGATAAATACTGATTATTTACAAATTCAGTCGGACAGAATTGACAGGGACTGTACTACACATCAGACAGTTAATAATGCCTACAGAATTTCTGTCGGAAAACCCAGAGGTAAAAATCACCTCGTGAGACATAGACGTGGATAGGCTGTATGAGAGGATAACATTAAGGAACACTGCTCGATTATACAGACTCGCTGTAGCATCCAATGGCGAACTCTTGTGAACGTAATAATGTCCTGCCGAATTTCATAAATGGCGGAAAACAAGGCCAGATGAGCTACTATCAGCTGGTCAAGGTGAATTTTACTCCATAAATTTTGTTAAACATGCGATCCTTTGTGCAGGAAATATTTCTTTCCCTCTATGCCGCGCCTTTAAATTGCAATGGACAAAGGCAGTCTGAGAGAAAACTGAGGCTTTTAAACCTTGTCAATAAAAATACGTTATTCGTATGTGACTGTTTGATGAGTAACTTTTTTACTTATTTAATGGTGTTATATAAACTCCAGGACATCAAAAGATACGGAACTAAGATCATGAGCTGTGAGTAAATTTGAAAGGAGGCGTTTATAGCTGTTTCACTACAAGTCCACTGTTCTGCACAGACTGCTGAAGCTCATAAAACCTCAGTAAAGTCAGCCGGTATCCCCAATAAGGATTGAACCAGCTACCTCAGATGTACAAGTCTGATGAATTACTGCCACACAGGCTTGCTCGAAGTTGATTATTTTATGACGCTTCATCACATGCCTAGGCAATACGTTTAAATAAATGCTACAGAAATACCGCTTATGATTAATTTAACTGGATCTGGAAGGAGGCGAGTATAGCTTATTTTAAGGCAGCCGCTATCCCTTCATGGTCTACAAAAACTGAGAAAAGTTTGAA